CACCAAATAGTTCCCGAGCGCAGCCACAGCTGCAGCCCCCCCCCCCCCCCCCACACACACACACACACACACACGGGGATGGGTCAAATGTGGAGATGTAATGATGCCTAATGGGACTTTAACTTTACTCTCTTGATGTTCACCAGTATCCTGGCTATAAGCAGCTGAACTGAAGTTCCTCTGAGTGGGCCAGACTCAGCTGTAAGAGATAACGTGAGGAGCTTCGTCATCCAGAGATTAAAGCTGCTGCTCCTTAATCAAAGTCAACTGAGGTTATTTGGGGATGTGATTAGGATGTGTCTTGAGGCTCCCTCCCTCTGGAGGTTTTCTAGGTACCCACTGGGAAGAGACCATGATAGGGAGTCCACGTTACATTTATCTCTTTCCCTCACACACTACAGCTCAAATGTGGAAAGAAGGTGGTTCCCTAGGCTTGGTTCTGCTGGAGGTCTTTTACAGTTAAACTGGTGGTCTGTTGTTTTTTTATAAGTTTTTCTTTTATTTTTATATATTGATGTGGAATTTGTAAGACGTGAATGGCGTAAATATAAGAGTGTTATTTGACCCACTCCGGGGGTAAAGAGGCCTAGGACCCAATGAAAAACAGCCTGTGTGCATTTACTCTCCTACTTTACTCTCCTACTCGCTCCTCCTTGAACCGTCACCTTATCGTGGTGGAGGAGTTTGAGTGCCCTAATGATCCTAGGAGCTATGTTGTCGGGGGCACTTAGTGCCCCTGGTAGGGTCTCCCATGACAAATTGGTCTTAGGTGAAGGGTGAGACAAAGAACGGTTCGAAGGATCTTTCATGGCGGTTAAAACGAAGAGTCGGAGTACCCGGCCCGGAGGGTTACCGGGGTCCCACCCTGGAGCCAGGCCTGGGGTTGGGGCCCGTGAGCGAGCGCCTGGTGGCCGGGCTTTCGCCCATGGGGCCCGGCCGGGCTCAGCCCGAACCGGATACATGGGCTCGTCCAACTGTGGACCCACCACCCGCAGGAGGAACATGAAGGGTCCGGTGCAATGCGAATCGGGTGGCAGACCAAGGCGGGAGCCTTGGCGGTCCAATCCCCAGACAAGAAAACTAGTTTTTGGGACATGGAGCGTCACCTCGCTGGCGGGGAAGGAGCCGGAGCTTGTGGCAGAGGTTGAGCGGTACCGGCTAGATATAGTCGGACTCACCTCGACACATTGCATTGGCTCTGGAACGCGAGACCTGGAGAGGGGTTGGACACTCTACTTTGCTGGAGTTGCTCCGGGTGAGAGGCGGAGGGCTGGGGTTGGCTTTTTGTTAGCCCCGAGACTCTCTGCCTGTATGTTGGGGTTTACCCCGGGGGACAAGAGGGTAGCTTCCTTGCGCCTTCGGGTCGGGGAACGGGTCCTGACTGTTGTTTGTGCTTATGGGCCAAATATCAGTTCAGAGTACCCTCCCTTTTTGGAGTCCCTGGGACGAGTGCTAGATAGTGCTCCATCAGGGGACTCCATTGTCCTGCTGGGGGACTTCAATGCTCACGTGGGCAATGACAGCTTGACCTGGAGGGGTGTGATTGGGAGGAACGGCCCACCTAATCTGAACTCGAGCGGTGTTTTGTTGTTGGACTTCTGTGCAAGCCGCAGTTTGGCCATGGCGAGCACCATGTTCGAACATAAGGATGCCCACCGGTACACTTGGTACCAGGGCAGCCTAGGTCACAGGTCGATGATAGATTTTGTAGTCGTATCATCTGACCTGCGGCCGTATGTTTTGGACACCCGAGTGAAGAGAGGGGCGGAGCTGTCAACTGATCACCACCTGGTGGTGAGTTGGATCAGATGGCAAGGGAACATGCCGCGTAGACCTGGCAGACCCAAACGCATAGTGAGGGTCTGCTGGGAACGCCTGGCAGAAGAACCTGTCAAGACGGTCTTCAACTCCCACCTCCGGCAGAGCTTTGACCACGTCCCGAGAGCAGTGGGGGACATTGAGTCCGAGTGGGCCTTGTTCCACTCTGCGATTGTCGAGGCGGCTGTTGCTAGCTGTGGTCGTAAGGTGGCCGGTGCCAGTCGTGGTGGCAAACCCCGTACCCGCTGGTGGACACCAGAGGTTCGGGGAGCCGTCAGGCTGAAGAAGGAGGCCTACAGGGCGTGGCTGGTCTGTGGGTCTCCGGAGGCAGCAGACAGGTACCGGATAGCCAAGCGGAGTGCAGCAGTGGCAGTTGCCGAGGCAAAATCTCGGGCGTGGGAGGAGTTTGGTGAGGCCATGGAGAAAGACTATCGATCGGCTCCAAAGAGGTTCTGGCAAACTGTCCGGCGCCTCAGGAGAGGAAGGCAGCAACTCGCTCACACTGTTTACAGTGGGGATGGGGAGCTGCTGACGTCAACTGAGGCTATAGTCGGACGGTGGAAGGAATACTTTGAGGAGCTCCTCAATCCCACCAATGCGCATTCCGAGGAGGAACCAGAGCTGGGAGGCCTGGGGATGGACTGTCTGATCTCGGGGGCAGAAGTTGCTGAGGTAGTCAAACAACTACACAGCGGCGGAGCCCCGGGGGCGGATGAGGTTCGTCCTGGGTATCTCAAGGCTATGGATGTTGTAGGGCTGTCATGGTTGACACGTCTCTACAACATTGCGTGGTCATCGGGGGCAGTTCCTAGGGAGTGGCAGACCGGGGTGGTGGTCCCCATCTTTAAGAAGGGTGACCTGAGGGTGTGTTCCAACTATAGGGGGATCACACTCCTCAGCCTCCCTGGAAAGGTCTACTCCAAGGTACTGGAGAGGAGGGTCCGATCGATAGTTGAATCTCAGATAGAGGAGGAGCAATGTGGTTTTCGTCCTGGCCGTGGAACTGTGGACCAGCTCTATACGCTTGCAAGGGTGATGGAGGGGGCATGGGAGTTTGCCCAACCAATCCACATGTGCTTTGTGGATTTGGAGAAGGCTTATGACCGTGTCCCCAGGGGCACCCTGTGGGGGACGCTCCAGGAGTATGGGGTGGGTGGCTTTCTGTTAAGGGCCATTCAGTCCCTTTACCAGAGGAGCGTGAGTTTGGTCCGCATAGCCGGTAGTAAGTCGGACCTGTTCCCAGTGAGGGTTGGACTCCGCCAGGGCTGCCCTTTGTCACCGGTTCTGTTCATCACTTTTATGGACAGAATTTCTAGACGCAGCCGTGGTGTGGAGTGTGTCGAGTTTGGTGGCAGGAGAATCTCGTCTCTGCTTTTTGCGGATGATGTGGTCCTCCTAGCTTCATCCAGCTCTGACCTTCAGCTCTTGCTGGGTAGGTTCGCGGCCGAATGTGAAGCGGCTGGGATGAGGATCAGCACCTCCAAATCTGAGACCATGGTTCTCGACCGGAAAAGGGTGGCTTGCCACCTCCGGGTCGGGGGAGAGGTCCTACCTCAAGTGGAGGAGTTTAAGTATCTCGGGGTCTTGTTCACGAGTGAGGGTAGGAGGGATCGGGAGATCGACAGGCGGATTGGTTCGGCGTCTGCAGTGTTGCGGACGCTGAGCCGATCTGTCGTGGGGAAGAGGGAGCTGAGCCAGAAAGCCAGGCTCTCGATTTACCGGTCGATCTACGTCCCAATCCTCACCTATGGTCATGAGCTTTGGGTAATGACCGAAATAATGAGATCGCGGATACAAGCGGCCGAAATGAGTTTCCTCCGTAGGGTGGCCGGGCTCAGCCTTAGAGATAGGGTGAGGAGCTCGGACATTCGGGAGGGACTCGGAGTAGAACCGCTGCTCCTCCGGATCGAAAGGAGCCAGTTGAGGTGGTTTGGGCATCTGGTCAGGATGCCTCCTGGACGCCTCCTCGGGGAGGTGTTTCGGGCATGTCCTGCCGGCAGAAGGCCCCCGGGTCGACCCAGGACACGGTGGAGAGGTTACATCTCCAATCTGGTCCGGGAACGCCTTGGGGTCCTGCCGGAGGAGCTGGTGGACAAGGCCGGGGAGAGGACGGCCTGGAGCTCCCTAGTTGGGATGCTGCCCCCGCGACCCGGACCCGGATAAGCGGAGGAAGACGACGACGACGACGACATTTCGGAAATCCCAATAACACACCCTATAGTATAACTGAAGCTCTGTGTTAAGAGTCATAACTCTGTATGTCTGATTAATCACTGATAAAGTGTGCATGTGGGTAGGAGTTGTGGTTGGGGTGCTGGCTTGTCTTGGAGACAGGCAAGGGGGTCCTCAAGGACAAAAGCTGGGAGCACTGAACTAAACTGTGTGTGTGCACAAATGGGGCCCATCAGACTGACCAACTGTAATACCGTCACTTCTTCATGACACTTGGAAAATACCGTAACAACCTGATTTATTGTAGTCCAAGCAGCCACTGATTTATACTTCTCCGTCTATCTCGGTGCGGAGACACGTAACGCCATATGCGTCGGCGCAAGGGCTCTCCAACAGGCTCCCAGAGGGTGATGGAGACATGCCCAAAATTTTAAACATCTGTCGAAAGTGGCTGTAAGCTTGTGATTGGTCAGGACGCCGCTTCCTGTAAATTCGTTACCAGCAACGCCGTTGCCCTGTTAAAAAGTGAAAAGATATGTTGCGGCAGACCCAGAACAGATTGGGGAACGCATCGCGGAAAGTCCAAGAATGGGAACGTTATTTCACCCGTGAATGAAGGAGTACAAAATACGGAGCAAACGTGGATGAAAACGGCGGGAAGTGTGAAGAGGTGGAGGAGAGTGAAGGACAAATGTCTCTGTGTTATAAAATCTCAGAAATATATAAACACATTAGTAAATACACTATCAAGGACCAGAGTGTTATAGTGGCAGGATATCACAGAAAAACGCCAGGCCCTCTGTTTTCCTGGCGGGGAACTGCTTTGCAACACTCCGCTGCTGAACAGAGGTTTGAATGGGAAAACCTTTCCGTCATTCTGTCACGGAGAAACCGGAGAAGTATAAACCAGGCTTTAATATTAGGATGATGATCAATGCCGCTCATAGAGTCAGGAAATAAAGCCAATGAATACATAAACAATTAATGTAATTAAAGTTCTCACACATGTCTGAGGAGTGGATATGTCATTTTATTGTGTCATATGAAAAATAGACAGTGTGTGTTTGGACACGGATGCGTTCGGTGTTAATTCAATTCCCTGTTAGTACAGTCCATTTATCACCGAGTGGGAGAATCCACTGTTATACAACCATGTTGAAGGAAAGGAGAACAAAAAAAAACACACGTGTCAAACTGTAATGCAGCATGAAACTGTTTGCAGTTACAATGAAATCTGCACATTAACTGATCACACAGTAAAGTTCAGTGGAGGATTTGTGCACAACAGCTTCATTTGACAGTTTGGCTTCTCTTTACAACTCAGTAAATATACAACTTCTATTGGTACATATTATTCTACCTTCATGTTGTTTCTATTATTTCAAACAGAATCTATTTTTAAGGAAGTGTTGGAAAAATGAAAGGTCGTGGAACTGATATTTAATGGTACATGAACAGAGTTGTCCAGCGTGGAAGCTCATCATTTAAAAAAGCAAACGTCCTGCAGTTTTGATCTGATGATGAGCAACAGAAACGTCATTCTAATCAAGGACAGTGCAAAGAAAGCCGTGCATTTGAGCACAAATGACCCAAAAACAGCGACATTATCCAAAGATGTTCACAGAAAAGCAGTAAAATGTGATTATTAGCAGCTTACGTGCTTAAGTTACAGTTCAAGTGTGAATGTTAGACCTGAATACTATAATAAAAACCTCCTAAATGTCATTTGACTCAGTATTAGAGGATGCTCTGCTGAGTGTGACGGTATAATGTTGGGTTTGGGAGCAGGGGTGGCGTTAGGCCCGGCTACTTGGGCTCAAGCCCCGAATGTTTTATGAAAAGCCCCGGATCTAAAACGTGGAAGTAACATGCAGTACCAAAGTCCAACAGAGAGGGAGCAGCTGGCAGTAGTTTGTATACAGCCTGCCTGAGCCTCCACCACTGAAGAAGCCCTTCAGCTGCTGGCTTCTTCTACACTCTCTGCCTGAAACGCGTGTGTGAAGATGGACATAAGGACGTTTTTTCAGACAAAAGGTACCGCGACAGAACTCCAGCTTTGATTATACTGGTGTTGACTCAGGTTTGTGAGTCTTATTTGAAAATATTTGTGATTTGTAATGTATATGATGTTGACTAGTGTGTGTCACGTGTGTGTGTGCGCGCACGTGCGCGCGTGTGTTAAGCCCTGGATCTTCTTCAGTCCTAAATCCGCCCCTGTTTGGGAGTATGACGGACGTCCTTAAATCATCTCTGAATCACGACGGGTACGCGTTGGTGCTGTCAGATCCGATGCTGCTGCTCATTGGAGATCTGAATGTGTTTTTAGCTGTTATGTAACACGTCAGCCACATTGTTTCTCATCTTCATTCCATTTTAGTTAGAGCAAAGCTTGATTCAAAGCAAAGCAAAAAAAGCACATTTTCAAGGATTTTTAGGTGTCAATTGGACTGGAATGAATACAGACCTAAACTAATAACTGAAATGAAATAAGCTAATCATACATTTACAGCAGATGGAGCAGTGAACGATCAGTTAAAGCTAGGAAATGACCTGTGATGTTTTGCATGTTCTGTCTATTCTTTCTATTTCTGAGTGTGAGTTCATCTATTGATTCTGTCTGAAGGTTTAGCAAAAGAAACAAGGTCAGAGGCCCAATGAGACGGGAGAAAATGTCAGCATCAAATTTGCCTTTTGATTTGGTTCTAACCTGTCTTTCTCTCTAATCAGATTTGACACTTTGAGACTCCTTCAGGGTTTAAAAATGTCAAATCTCCAGCACTAAATACCACATCTCCAGATTTAAAAGAACATTCCCCAAGGGGACGAGAAACCTTATTATGTCATTACACTTGTTGTCAAACATAAACAGCTCTAAGCGGCAGGACGCATTAGGTAACATACCACTACGTCTGCCATGATGGACATGCAGCACGAGCAGAATTCACATTAAACTTCCTCCCTTTTGATTTCCTCTACAGGCAAAGAAAATGAATGATACATTCAGTCCGATGTTTGATCGTCTAAGCGAATCAGGGCAAATCATCAAAGAAGCCAAGCAAGCAGCAATATCATTTCCCCACTATACACATCCTCAGAACAGTTTTTATTTTCCACCCTTAAAATGATTCTTCTCTAAAACAGCCCTAGAATCAGGGGCGGAGCTTCAGGAGGGGCTGGGGGGGGGGGGGGGGGGGGATGGGGGCTCTGATTTGTTCCGCTATTGCCTGGAATGGAAACGTTTTCACTGGTAGCTGGAGCCTAAATTGCCTCTGTGTTTTCTTGAATCTATCCACCTTATTCCTAGCCTCCATGATCCTTTGTGTGAAATATGCAACCGATTTCCGGTCCAGCGTTAGTTTACATGGAGACCATAGATGGACGCTAATCCACTTTTTAAGGTCTTATTATAGACAGAAACTATGTGGGAACACCTGCTCTGATGGGACACGTTTACAACCCCTCTGCCTACTGCGATAGAGAGGTGGAGGATGAGAAGAAAATATGGACAAAGCTGACATACGGTAGTATTTTAGCTTCTTTCTTAGCTCAGTCGCGCCCGGTGGAGCTTATCATGACCTACACGGTAACACGGTCGGTCGTGGGTCGTCAAAAGAGGTGGAACCCAATCCTTTAAAGGTAAAAGCAGACGTAGAGACGGGTCTGAGCCTGAAATCCCTCATTACCAAGCCTGGGTTTTAGTTCCTACATCAGGTCAAATACAAACAGCAGGTTTTTCATGTATTACCAGACGGTAAATTTTCATTTTCATTTGATAATGTTAAACATAATTTATCAACTTCATACAAGCATAATTCAATCAAATAATTTTTAGGACCTAAAGTCAGTGTGTATGGGGGCTGAGCGATAACTACATGTAAGCGCAAAAGCAAAGTTATCCACTAGATGGGGATGTCACGTGTTTTACTCTGAGTCATGTTGTCATGTGACTCGAGGTGGAACATGAACGTCGCTGACCTACACATCTACACATTACCAAATGTATTGACATGGGAAAAATATTATGGATTAGAGTTAGAAATTTTGATAATGATACATTTTTGATGCATTGTCCTGCCCTCGGGTGTATATATTAGATTTTTTTTTCCCAGGTTGATAATATAGTCAGACAGGGAAAGACTGGGCCAAAGTGGTCCAAATGTATCTTTTGAAGCCTTAGATTTAAGGCAAACAGTTACACAGGTACATTTTCCCAGGGGCAAAAAGATTTTAAAATCCTCTTGAAGTGTTCAAATAAACTTCTACGAGAAACGAAAGCTCACCATGCGCTACTTCCAGTATCTCAATGGATGTTGCTCGCATCATTGCTTCTACAGGAGCCCAGATTTAAGGTGGACAGGGGGCAAACTTGCCTGGTGAGAGCTACGTTACATCTCTAAAACTCAATTTAAGATTTTAAACACAGAAACAAAAGATGCGGAACCAATCCTAGTACTCAGTTGAACTTCCACTCATTTTGACTCAATCGGCACACCCATTAGTCCTCCACCGAGCCTCACCATATGGCTTCGATCAGGTCCCCGGCTTTGTAGATGCAGGCTGAATGTTCTGGAGTTTAGAAAATGTAACGGGCACCTTCCCCTCCCCGGGGGCCGGTGCTCTCATTACAGGTGAACCTGTAACAAAAACAACCTTTGCTAGTATTCAACCTTGCACGTTCAGCTTGACAAACTTCATTTGAACGTATGTGTCATGTGCCACCTCACCGACTGTTGTGTGATCTGCTAGTCGTTGCTTAAACCTTTGTTGGAGATAAAGTTCCTTCTTGGAGTAATTTTTGGCAAAAGCAGACAGCAGGAGGCCGACGGCCATGTAGGTGCCTCCCACACAGAAAAGCACGGCACCAGTCAGCTTGCAAACATCCAGAGCGTGGTTGAAACTGACGGCGTGGCTGTTTAACCAAACAGAGGGGTTAGTTCACAACGTTTAACAACTTTTTCTCTTAGACAATCTTCTCCTTAACACTGCTCTTTTGTCTTACCTGTCAACAAACAGAAGATCGTCTTCACCAAACGCTTCAATCCTAGCTGGCATTGCATAGCCCACCAAAACAACAACAAGGCCAGCCAACAACATCAGGGTTCCAAACGCGAGACAGACCTTCACAACGGGGAGAGGCCAGGGAATCAAGCAGAGCATAAGTTTGAAGTTCCACCACTGTGGAAAAAAAGATCAGTCACGTTGAGGGTTAATCTCACCTTCCAGAGTAAAGAGCTCCACCTGCTAGGCGATCTCTGAATCTGAAAATCTTCATCGCGTTCCCAGATGGAACCGGTGCATTCTTCATAAAACTGTAACAAATCAAGAGGAATCGTGTGACATCGAACACTGTCGTTTGTGTGTGTGTGTGTGTGTGTGTGTGTGTGTGTGTGTGTGTGTGTGTGTGTGTGTGTGTGTGTGTGTGTGTGTGTGTGTGTGTGTGTGTGTATGTGTGTGTGTGCACTGTTGTGCTACCTTGTGTAGGTAGGAGCGAACTCCGTACTGCTGGTAGTTTCCACCTGCATGAGCTTGCTCACCATATTCTGACCCACAGAACTCTGCACATGAAGTCATCCTTCCCACCTTTCTGCAAGAACAACACACACACACACACACACACACACACACACACACACACACGGTATGAATGCATTGTGTTCCATACAATCCACCCACACAGTCTGTGATCAGTCTAGCATTCACCCAGGCATGGACACACACATGTTTGTGTAGCATTCATAAACACAGACTGTATCCTCTGAAGTGCCTTTATACATCAGGATTGAGGATGCATCCTCCTGGTCTGGTGTTGGAAAACAAGCATCTTCAACCTCACATTTAGTTTTACCTCAGCTTGTTTCCATCCATAAACACTAGTAGAATGAGTGCATTTGTGTGTGTGTGTGTGTGTGTGTGTGTGTGTGTGTGTGTGTGTGTGTGTGTGTGTGTGTGTGTGTGTGTGAGTGTGTGTGTTATTATGATGTCTTTCTGGCAATTCCATCAGTTTCCAATAACCACTGGAAGTGTTTATTAGGACCATTCAGTCAATAAGAGTCCCAAATACACATTTTTCGTTCTTATTTTGGAGGAAACCATGTGACGTGAGGCAATCTCACCTCCACTGTTTGATGGTGAGATAACATTAAGCATAGTATCAAGGAAATCATTTATAATCCAAATTAATACATTCATACGTACTAGGGTTGGGTGATATGGATTCAAAATAAAATCTTCTGTTTACTCTAAACCGTAACCAAACCAGATTTATGACTTTAACTGATTTTTCCCCTCGTTCTACAGAAATGACAACTTGCGGATTATATTTATGAAAGTTTGCTTTAATTTTAATCATCCCTTCTGTGAGTTGACCTGAGTTCCAAGTCCAACTAAATACAAGCTATAAAACAACATGACAGGCCCTGCTATTGCAAACAGTGAAAGATATCACACCTGTCGGCAGGTGTTTACACTTGGAAAATGTTGAAAGAGTTGCAGTTAAACGTCACTCTGCTGCATTTAAGCTGAATTTTTAGCCAATGTTTGACGTGTTGAAAGGTCATGGATGGAGTTATATTTACTTCATTCTGTCAGTCAAACAGATTTTTCAGAATGGTGGTCGGCATGAAGGCTGATTATGTACATTTGTTTAAACATCTTGGTTTCAGAAAAGGGTAGAATGCCTTCTCCAGGTCAGGGACGAGGTCCTGCCCCAAGTGGAGGAGTTAAAGTATCTTGGGGTCTTGTTCACGAGTGAGGGAAAGATGGAGCGTGAGATCAATAGGCAGGTTGGTGCTGCATCTGCAGTGATGAGGGCGCTGTACCGGTCTGTCGTGCTGAAGAGAGTGCTGAGCCAGAAGGCAAAGCTCTGGATTTACCGGTCGAGCTACGTTCCTACCGTCAACCATAGTCACGAGCTTTGGGTAATGACCGAAATAAAGAGATCACGGATACAAGCCATTGAAATTAGTTTTCTCCACAGGGTGGCTGGAATCTCCTTTAGAGCTAGGGTGAGAAGCTTGGTCATCCAGGAGGAGCTCGGAGTAGATCCACTGTTCCTCCACATTGAGAGGAGCCAGTTGAGGTGGCATCTGGTTAGATGCCTTCTGGACTCCTCCCTAGTGAGGTTTTCTGGGCACGTTCATCCGGGTGGAGCTGCAAGAGAAGACCCAGGACAGACTGGAGGGACTATGTTTGTCGGCTGGCCGAAAACTACTTGGGACTCGCCGCAGGAGTTGGCTCAAGTGGCTGGGGAGAGGGAAGTCTAGGCCTCTCTGCTTGGGCTGCTGCCTCGCGATCCAACCTCAGATCTCTTGCACATCATTAAACAAACACAAAACTGTACTAACTCTGGTTTCGGATCACATGCATACATCATCCTAATCAGGGACACCTTCTGTTTTCTTAAGTCACCAACGCTCCAAAGAAGGTTGCGAGCGATCGAAACACTTTGGCTAATCTTTGCTAAATAAATGACCTTTGCACCATTCAGACTGCCTCGGATCATCATTGTATTGTTCCTCACCTCACATTGGATGTCTTCCACAATCCTGAAGAGCATGCACATCTGTTTTCTAAGCAGTTTTGCCACAGACACGCTCACCCTCCTCTCAGACTTCAAGATGAATCTCCTGGGCATCTCATACTGAACTACAAACTGCCCCACGGTCTGCAAAAAGACTGGGATAGACCCCAAAATTCTCAAATCATCATCTATGAACACTACAAACAAGATCAAAGCCAGATGTTTCATAGAAATGCTCTGTAAGAGCTGTTTTTCTGCTTTAACTATTGTCCTTGTAAACAGGTAGATGGGAGGATATTTAAAATGATGAATGTTCAGACACTGGCTGCCGAAGTGGGTGTGGTCCCACTTGTATAAATCACCATCATAAATACACAGAGTTTATGAGTGCCAGGGCCAGACACTGTATTTAATAAAACACATCATTAAGATGAGCCACAATGTCCCCGCTACCCGGGGTTAATCAGATTACGCTTAATCAGCATCTGCTGTTGACTCACATGCACATCTTTCTCTGTGTGGATCTCACATCAACATCTGCACATGTGCAAGTTAAACAGTAAAATGAAGGAATGGACAGTAAGATCGGGCAGCATTCCATATCATAGCCTTTCTAAAATGGCAGAAGTAAACTGTACATGTGTAGTCTTATTGTATCTTATTTTGAAACGTTTTTATTGTTTTAAAATCTCTTTTTCTTCAATCAACAAAACAACAAAGTCTTACTTTGTCATGCATATCTGATGCTCACTCCAATAAAAGGTTTCTAAGTCAGTTGGAGCATCAGTGTTATTTCATAATTTCATAATGACACAGTAAACTTTACTTTCTCTTCCTAGCAGCTGCAGTTCTGCTAAATATAATCTTTTTAGGGTTCCAACTAGCAGCTAACTGCTGCTGCTCCATTGGCTGAGTTGAACTGCTAGCCTGACCAGTCACCCCAATGCCCTGCTAATGCTCCCGTTCAAATAACCCCACCCCCTGAGAAATCTAAGCGGGCCAATCGGTGCTGAGCAGCGTACGTCAGATGCTCATTTTCTCTTAAACAATGAAGATGGCGTCTGAAGTGGCGTTCGCTGCGGCTCTTTCCTTTGTTCTAAATGACTTGGACATGTCTTCAAAACCACAAGAAGAAGCGCTAAAAGCCTTTCTTCTAAAGAAAGATGTTTGCGCCGTCGCCAGACGCCATCTTTGACTACCGCTTAAAAAAATTACAGCGTCGTGCGATAGTCGCCATTTCCACCTTTTTTCTGATTGGTTGTTTTGAGCTGGCTAGTCCCACTCCTCGTGGTGCTCTCGGCCTCTGTGTAGATTAGACAGAGGGTGAGTCTTGCAGGCCAGGCTATTTAAATTCAGCAACATGTAGAGAAATGTGTCTAACCTTATTTTGCCCTTTGTACTGAGAAGGTGTGTTGGACATTGGCTAAGAATGTGTTAAACCACACAGTTAACGTGGCTGAGTTTCTGAAAGGCCCCTGCAGGATCTTTCTTAAGCAGCAAGCACACTTTTTATTCACAAATATAACTCAAATATTTATGTTTATTTATTTATGTTTATTTATTTATCAACTTAAAAAGATGTAATGCAGGTCAGATCAAGAGCTGCACAATGTTTCGTTTGAGCGTTGGCGTCCGAGATTTGGCCGAGCAATGGCTTAGCAACTTCAACTCTTGACCCCCTTGTGGTCTTTAGTCAGTGATGACAGAGACCACAGGGCGTCTCGCCCCCTTTGGAAATCAGCAACCCCTTACCCCGGTTTCACACTGCAAGCATCAGCGGAACAGAGCAGCAGCAAAGTGGCTCACTCGCGAACTTCAAAGCGGCCCTTTTCACACCGGCAGAGCCTTGGCCGCGGCACGGCTTCCTCGCTGCGCCTCGCTGTACCCACGAGATTCTAAAATCCCTCAAGACTTCCAGCACCTTCCTCATCGAGAGATCACAACCCCCGCGAGGAATCACACCATTGCACTTCTCGAAAGAAACTGGTGAAAACCAAAGCCGTTTGGTCACATGTACTGACGTAAGTTACATATAACATCGCAACGTTGCATCTTATTTTGAAAATAACCGGGGATTTTACACTGAAACCATGTGGTTTCCTGTCTCACACTATGTGAACTGTGGAATTGACGTGTCCGAGAAGCGGCGAAAAAATAGAACTCGATCTTTAGCGGTGCGGCGCGGCATGCCGCTTCTGGGACGCACCTGGAAATTGCCACGTCGCGGCTGGTTTGAAACACTCCATGGACTATAATTTGATTCTATTTGAAGCGGTGCCGCTTCGCTGCCGTTCCGTTCCGCTGATGCTTGCAGTGGGAAACCGGGGTTAGACTCATTTAGCAACTTAAGGGAGAAATCCTGGCGCTGCTCCTGTTGACATTGCTCAGTGTGCACGAGTCACCTAGCAATTTCTGTTACCATGTCAGAGCCAAACAATATAAGGCTTCAAAGGATGAGTTGCGCACTCATTTTAATTTCCAAGTGACAAATGTTAGTTCTATTACTATTATGTGATATTTGTTATGTTGCAAATTAATGCCAATGGACTGTCACAAAGATAGCAGGAGTGAAGCATTCTTTGAAGAACTATGTAAGTCTGTTTAAAATTCCTGCTGTATTTTTTTTTACATTGCAATAAATAAAAGAGTTTGAAAATATTGCAATGGAAATGCTTCCCCATTGCCATGCAGCCCTATCCGAGATGTACAAAAATTATTTCTCTGTCCCAGAGGTTAGAAACTGTAAATGGTATGTGCTCTGTATTTGATATAGCACCTTCCAATGTCCTGGAACCCCTCAAGGCACTTTACAACACATTCATTCACCCATGCTCACACATTCACACTCTGGTGGTGAGGAGCTACAACGTAGCCACAGCTGCCCTGGGGCGTACTGACAGAGGCGAATCTCTCGAACACTGGCACCGTCATTACCCCCAACCGCCACCAGCTGGCAATGACGGTTAAAGAGCAAGTCACCCCCAAATCAACTTTTTATTTCTGATAAACTATATAAATGTGTGTCTAATCATGCTGCTGACACGTGTAGTCAATATTTTAGCACTTTAGTGCATTTTAGTTAAAATCTAAATTTTCTACCTAAACTGTCAGTGTTGTGCCGTTGTCAGGTAAAAACTCTGCACTGCATTTAAATTGAAATCTGCCATTGCTATTGGCTAAGAGGTACCCTAGGAAGTTAGCTGGTACCATATGATGTCACAATGACATTGTGAGCCTGTGTGTGTGTGTTTGTTAGCAGTGCCGCCCTCTCGGTCCACTAGGCAACATCATTTGTTGCATTTTTCAAACAGGACGTGTGAGTGGAGTAATACTCTGGTAGAGGGTGACTTGCTCTTTAAGTGTTTTGCCCAAGGACACAATGACAGCAACAGAAGGAGTGGGGCTCGAACCTGCAACCTTCCAATTACAGGGTGGGCACTTAACTGTAACCAGTTGGTTGACGGTTCGAACCTATGCTCCTTCCGTGTCAGTTGAGGTATCCTTGGGCATGACACCTCACCTTCCTTGTCAGGATCTGCTCCTTCTCCCTCTGATGTGTTGTCTCCCTCACCTGCCCCTTCTTATCCTACCCACCTGGTTCCTGCTTACCCTCATGTATTTAAACCGTCTGTACTTGTCTTTGTCAGATCCTCTTCTTGTCTTTCTGCTGAATCATCCTACCAACCGTTATTCATATGAAACAGTTATTTTTCCAGTTTGCCTCCTGTTCCTGCTCGCCTGCATTTGGATACAATTTCCACCGACTCCACTTCTTGACACTCCTTACCTGTAGTAAGGTCGGAGGAACTGTGAATGGATGCAACTGCTTTACAATGTAGTGTAAAGAGCGTTGGAGTCCTCTGACTCACAGATTTGTAATTTACCAAAACTAAAATCTGAAAATGAGTGATGGTGCCAGCTACCACAGCACTAATATAGCTCTGCCACAACAACCATGAAATGAATGAACATTCAAAGACATTTTTAATCATTTGCACAAATTTTATAAAAACCTTTAAAATGGCACAAATGTGACAAGTTGGTAACTCACCAAAGCTAAATCTCCATTTCTTTACTCTGAGGTTGTTCACAGAGCTTTCTACAACAGGTAATCTATTACTTTTATTTCACAGACACCAATTTTAAAAGAAGTGATTTGTCACTTTAAATGAAAATAATTTAGGCTTAATTAGACGAGAGAGTAAAAACATAAAACGTATCTAAGTTATTCATCTTCCGGGTGAGGAACCAAACAGGCTACCCCTGCTGCTGAGCTAAATCAAACCAGAAACATGAATAACATCCTGATCTACGCGTGGAGAATCAACGACGCCATGAGCCATTCAACCATGCTCTGGAGCGGATGCTGGACGCCATCATCATCGTCCTCCTCCTCCTCCAGCCTTCACCCAGCGGGAAACACGCAGACGCTGGACGATAACAGAGCTTAATCTGTTCCAGCTCCGGTCCCACCATCCAGATGCAAACACGGCACGCGCTACAATAAACTCACAAAGGTGAACTTTTGAGGAAAGGCGCGTCTGAAACACCTGAGAAACACCGTCTCTAATCCTGAAGCGCGGATGAACGTTTTAGTGGGTAGCCTACACGCAGAAGCCCGCAACCCCCAGAACAACAAATGTGACCCAAGCTGGTTCAGAATGGACACGAAGTTAAAAGCACTACTTGTTCCACAAAACAAGAAGTCCGCGCGAGAAGAGTCCCTGAGCTGCCGATGACACCGCCACCGAGAGGTGTTTGTGATGAGGCTGTTTACACAGACTACGTCATCGCTACGTGCTGCGAATATACCTCCAAATGATAAAACTCGTATTTACCTGTCATTAGCAGCTGGTAGAGGGATCAAGCGCTGCTCTTTCCTCAGCCCGGTCCCATCACTCTACAGTCACATCATCTCCCTCTAGCTCACTCCCTGTCTGCTTCGATGATTCACGTTTTCACGCTTCCAGTTGCGCAGGCGGTATCCATGACAACGCATGAATTATATGTGAGAATAAATAACCAGGCGGGAGGAAGAGTTGAGAGGAATGACTTTTTATGAATGGATGGATGGATAGATGGACGGAACAAGACAAATAAAATAAAAGTCATAAAATATAAACAACTCCTTTCTTCACGCTGAAGTTCGTTTGTAATGACGTGATCATCTGTATCTGTTCATGACAGTCCTGCTAGAGTGTTTTTTATTCCTGGCCAATCAGGTGCCTCCCTGGTTCTACTCTGTTGTAGATCAGGATCTGCTCCTGCATCTCAGCTCGACAGAAGCCTTAATTCCTAATCAGATCAGCAGGCATGCCACTCCAGACTTGAAGGAACCTCATGAACAAATTACAGCCGGTAACATGGGGGTGGGGGGTGGGGGTGGGTGGGGGGATCATAAATACTTTGGTTAATATAGACATCATCATTGTTTATTATAAATTCTCACTGAACACAAACACACATTTCATAGTCGACATGTGGTCCTGACTTGTTATATTACTTTTGTGGTCTAAAATGAACAAAGCCTGAAGCATAAATCTATTCAGAACAGGAATTACATCAAATAAATAAATAAAACTCTTTGTGACATTCCAGCAAATGGAGACCAGTTGAACCTGGTTTCTGCTTGATTGGTCAGTGACAAGAAAGCGCAGCGGGCCTTTTGTTAAAGCAACAGAGAAGCAAACAAGTGACCAGTTTGCTTTTTTAAAGGGCGCCCGCTCACAAATGGAGCCAAATGTCTCAATACTGTTTTGCCCTCATTTAGCTTTTTTTGTGTTTTAGACTTTTTAAAACATCTGTGATGTTTTAAAAATGATTGATAAAGATTATGTCATTCTGACTTAATCAAATTAAAACATGCAGCATTGCTAGTCCCTGACTTCTCCTAAATCAGGGTAACATTTCATTCAAATGGATTTCATGTTTATTGTGCAAAAGACAAGTGAAATATGATGATTTCTACCTGTGTTGGTCCACGGAAGACATTTTGACTGCCAGAGAATACCTGACTGATTTCTCTGGGCAAGACACAAATAAAACACCAAGATTGGCAAATTTCAGAGTCAAAGAGCATCTCCAGTGCTTATCACTCTCTCTCTCTTCTTCGTAGTTGTCTTTAAAATTTAAAGGAAGAGCGAAAACGGCACAGATGCGTCAAATAAATACAACCTCAAAATGGTGTTAGAAAGACCGGAGACAACACGAACAGTTACGACTCTGAAACATGCTACCTGGCTGTTGTTTTACCAAGTTTAATAAACAATATCTGAAACTATTAACTCAAAAGCTGAATTTGTTGATCTTTAAATGCAGCAGTCAAAATGACTGCTGAAAGCCGGTTTGGTGGCCGTCCTTGTGTTGACCTCCAGTAGAAGCGAGGAACTCGTTGTTCAAAAGGCAAGACTAAATAAGGGCATGCATGCAAAGTGGAAGTGCCATTGCCTTTGTGACCATCTGGAGCTAAAATCAAATCTGAAACACAAAATCAATAAATACTCTAACTGTTCTGCAGCACAATACCTTTGTTTTTGCACCTTCTAACATTATCAATACTCACAAAAATTGTTATTTTTTTTTACTTTTTTGAGTTTAGTTCAATCATTTGGCCTTGCTCTCACTTCAGAGGTTTGGCATCTTGGAGTACAATTCCTGTGTGGAAACCACGTCCAGCTTGTCACAGGTCTGTGCCGGCTAATGGCACTGATGAACATCTTCAGGTTTCAAAAGAACAGGAAAGCAAAGTGTCTTTTGTCTGCCAAATGAAGATCTGGGCATCAGGTCCTCCCTGGTGCCCATTTCCGAGCTTCTTCAAAGGCTCTCCAGTCCCATTTTAGTTCTGTTTGTCAACAGCATGCATTGCTGCTACTTTGGTCCTAATGGTGCACGGCAGAGTTCAGCTGCATTAGTTAATGACCTTCACAATGATAGTTATTATGAGCAGCTTCATACCAACAAAAGGGCTCCGTGCAAGTGCACTTGTAAGAGCTGATGTTGTTGGAACGGTTGTCACACAAACGGTTTGAGTTGACATTGTTCTTACTCACTTTGCATGCTAAGCATACATGCTAAATAAAAACTTGTATTTGTAAATTATTTTTTTACAGCGTACCTGCATGGGATGTTTTGCATGACCGGCACCTGTGTGTGTATAAAAACACTACTGCTCTCGCTGCGTTGCAGGATTCCAGCCACACTGGAGGGCAGTCTATTTTTGCCTCTCGATGACGTACTTGGTTAGTCACCTACTCCGTGCTTCCGCTGGAGAACGTACAGTATGGCCTGAAAGCGTCAGAACTGTGCATCAAGGATGCAAACACGGAGTTGCATGAAAACAAGAGATAAAAAAAGGCAAAAATGGTTAAAAAAATAGATACTTTGGGTTAATATGTGTTTGAGTTTTACTCTAAGAGTCAGAAAATACCCATTTCAAGCAACACATTTTACATTGGGCATTTTTTATGCATTTGTCACATGTATGTTCAGACTCAATGTGATAAATACATCTACAGTGAAACACCTCTTACTTGTGTTTGAAGTCATTCTCAAATAAGACAACGATTTAAGTGAGTCACGTTATTTTTTTTTTTTTACAATAAATGATAATCTTGACCTCCACGACCCTGATCCCCTGAGGCACAGTCTGTACGTCTGCATAAATTGCTTTAAAATCATGCAAATGACTGACATTTGCAGAAAAATGTAAAGCTTCCCTGCTCTCTGGTAAGCGGTTAACAAAGTGATCTAAGCTGCCATCACAACATGATTTGTGATTATGCTATCACATCCCTACAGAAATGTGCTTCCCTGTGCAGAAAAGGGTTCTGTTATCAGTCTCTGTCTGCATCTCGCTCTGTGTACATGCTGAGCCACTCTGAGCATGGAGAGGCGGTTGCCATAGCAACGCGAAAGGTCACCTTCAGGAAGTTCTCTGAGCGTGTGCAGAATGCCATTTGGATAATCGAGCTTCCTGTAATGACTGATAACGTAGCGTGGACCATTAGGGACACAGACAGTGATTAGGTGTGTGTGTGTGTGTGGGGGGGGGGGGGGGGGGGGGTATTAGTCATGGTGAGAAGAAACAATAAAACATTTATACTAATAGTATGCCATACTTACACTGTGTGTGTGTGTGTGTGTGTGTGTGTGTGTGTGTGTGTGTGTGTGTGTGTGTGCGTGTGTTTGTGTGTGTGTGTGTGTGTGTGTGTGTGTTATGCAAATCTGACTAAAAGGAGTTGCTAATCCCAAATGCAATAGACTTTAATCTGGAATGCAGCAGTCCACATTTATTGTTTATTGCAAGTAGGTGATTGTATTGATGTCATGTTGAGACATGTGGTTGAACCCAGTAACTGAAGAAAGGTGAGATTAAAAGAGCTTTGTAAGAAAATAACAAACAATGGACACGAATGAAAGCTTGAGCACATAATTAAATAAAGTAGGATTTGACACTGAGAGGAAGAACCAAGGACCTTTACACAGGATGGGAATGCTTACGTGAACATGAAGTAGCTGAATGATGACGACGTGGATAGAAAAGATGCATGAGGTCTGACTGATTTGGTGTGTCAGGACACAGCTGAGGTAAGCGTAACAAAACGTTTATTTAAAGGTGATAGCGCTGGGTCTGTGGAACGTCTGAAACTGGCCGGGATCTTAGGAGAGAGGAGAGGTTGGTGAGTTGGGAACGAAGTGTTAGGGATGTGCCCGGCAGAAGAAAAGTGCCTTACAGAATCCTTCAGGGTTTCAGGATTTGAGGAGGGTACTGGCTGGTAGAGAATGGTGTAGCGGAAATCCACATTTCACATTCTCAAATTAACTTTAATTGGATTCACAAGAAGAAGGACAACGGACTATTTCACACAAAGCTTTTCTTTCTCTCTCACTTAGCAGCAAAAGGGGAAAATTGAAACTGGCCAAGATTCATTTTCCAGCACATCTGGTTAACTCTTACGATTCTCTCCCGCGGTCGTAAATTGCACCAATTGACTTGGTTGTCCCTTCTTTAGCAATAAGAGGAGCAGGATGATATCAGAAACTGGTCTGTTTTATATCCACCCGTCAAGGGTGGCTCTTACACAAGATATGGGTGGTGTAAAATTTCTCTGGGGTTTTCTTCTGGAAGTTTCCAGACTTTAGTCCTTATAAAACCTTGTATTTTTGTTTATCAACAGTCAAAGAAGGTGTTTTAGGTTGTTTATCATCTAAAAGAATCAATGTGTTCTAAGTAAATGTGAAACTCTTATCAGTTACAGACATACTGTAAATGTTTGTGTTCCTCTTTCATGTTAAACCTCTGTCATTTTTGTTTCTCCAGTTAAAATTCATGCTAACAGTAATACAGTCAAGTTTAAGACATGAATGTAGTTCTTTCCTTGTTTAAATTAATAATTTTTGATGCCTTGTACAGGTATTCTTGGTAAATGTTGATGCCTCAGACATTGTTTGAAAAGGATGTGTATTTGAAAGAGCAACAGTGCCATCCAGTTGTTAATAAGTGAAATACATGTGGGCGTGCCCAAGAAAGTTTTTCAAAACCAGAGTTCAAACCTCGTGGCGGCAGAGCAAAGAACAAAAGGACGCCTTAAGAAAATCCCTGCCTTTTTTTCCATCTCACCTAGCAACACCGTCGCTCTCAAAGTTTTCAAGTCATTAGCTCTCAAAAGTTACTGTAGAACTCTGCGACAACTCCGTTTGTTTTTGTTAGATCTTCTACGTCAAACCGGAAGTTGGTTTGGTCCGGTAATGTTTTCACAATAAGAGTTTAACTAACTTAGAGTAGTTTTTCAGATTCTGCATCATTTTTGATAATTTGGACCCACGCTCTGAATTCCACGTTTCGGTGCAGTTGAAGTGAAGGAACCTAAAGTCAAGCCACTGTAGAGGAATGCATTATCCTCAACTCCACAGACAACCGTTGACCGACTCGGCGGCCAGAGTCCTTCAGAACCCC